AGACTGCTACCAGAGCACAGAATTTCTAAAATGTTTTTATTTTATGAAAGGTTATTAACAGGCAGCTGCTAGACTATTAGCAGGCAGCTCAAGCATTATATTTATCCAGACAATAACAGCATCAACACTGTAGTGCAAGCTTCTCCCATGTAGTCCTACTTATTTATTTCCATCAAGCCCAGGAGAAATTCCAATAGGGAAAAGGGATTGTAATGAGTTTCATGAAGCCTCATTCATTCCAAGCTGTTACAGATAATGATTCAGAGAGGGAGAAGAGGATATGGGGGCAGCATCCAGAAGCTGGTCAATAATAGAGTATTAAACCACCAGTGCCTGTTTGCAAAGGTCAGATAAATACCAGGCAAAAACCTTATTCCCTGGTACTCCAGCCTCACCCTGCAGAGTGCCAAACACACACAGCATGTGTGTACAGGGGCGAGTTCAGCTCTGCTCTGCACTGGGGCAGCCTCACCTCGACTCCTGGGAGCACTTTTGGGGTGCCACAGTATAGAAAAGACATTAATGTATTAGAGAATGTCCAAAGGAGGCCACAAGGATGGAGAAGGGTCTGGAAGGCAAGCCTTGTGAGGAAAAGCTGAGGTCTCTGGGCTTGTTCAGCCAGGAGAAGACTGAGGGGAGACCTCATGGTGCTCTTCAATATCCTCACGTGGAAGAGGAGTGGCAGGCACTGATCTCTTCACCAGTGACAGGAATCAAAGAAATGGCCTCAAGTGGAAGAAAAAGAAGAGCATCCTATCCCAGAAATGGTTTGTTAAGAGCAGAGCAGATACATTTTAACCTGCTGTACATTCCCATTCTCATTTGGACCCTGAATTCTGAACTCACAGGCACGCTGAGCACAGGGAAACCTGTTCAGGTATAGCATCTATACAAAGGCAGGTCGCAAACAGTAATGGCACATAGTCAGCAGCAATTTGACTTTAAAACAAAAATCCTATATCTGCACCTCTTGAAGGAATGACCCCTCCTATGGCTAGAATAGGCAAGTCATTTTGCCTCCCTTCACTTTGTTCTGTGCAGTTGTTCACCAAACCATGTACAGTGGCATATTTATGATGTGAAAGGTATCTGGCAAAAATCACCTATTTAACAGAAAGTACAGCATTCTAAAATGTCCAGGCACTTCCCAGAGCTGCTCAGTCACATGGTAACTGCCATGGGCTGGATGAACACAAGGAATGAATAAATTCATGATGCACATCTATACCATTTGTGGTTTCAAGTATATGTTTCAATACAAAAAGGATTTCCATAGCAGCCAGATACAATCAATGGAAACAAGTAAAGCAGAGCTGCAGAAAGTGCTCTGAAAGAGGGGTCAGAGGTAATGGTCTCAGCTTCATGTCAGAGAAATGTCATAAAGCCTCCATCACACCTGCAGCTGGCAGTGCTATAAGCTGAGAATCAGAATGGGGAAAGGGTAAACAAAACATTGGTTGCACTGCCTGGTATGACAAGCACATTACTCCTCACAGGATTATTCCACAGATTCCATGACAACAATAAGAACTAAGATATTTATAACTTTGAAAGCAAGCCTCTGTCTTAATGCCACAGTTTGCATTCACAGGCCAAGGACAATTCCAAAGAGTTTTGCACAGAGGTACCTCAGGTGTTTAAGGGATTAGGAGTGCTTTGATTCATGTGTGAGCTGCAATGGGACTGTCAGAACCCAGGACAGCCCTCTGGGTGCCCTGGAGGACACGTGCCCCTGGCAGGGGCTCGGAGTCGTGGCAGGAAGCCAAAGACACTTGGGATTTCAATCTTAACCCATGGAGCAAATTACCAACCTTGTATGAAAAATTACAAGGCACAAAAGTCTAAGTAGCATAACAGTAGTTGTCACAGGGTGAAAAGTAGAATTTTGGGATTTTTGGGACAGGGGTTTGGAGTCCCAAGATGGAGGAACTTGGGCGTTCCCTGTCCTCCTTTCTTCTTCCCAGCCCCCATCTTCTTGGTGATGGTGGCACATTTAGATTGGTCTACAGTAGAAGTAGACAGTCTGACATAGGCGATAGGTATTGGAAAATAATTGTAAATAAAGTACATGTAGTTTTTAGTATAAAAAGCCAATACCAGCCCGGGGGTGGGGAGTGTGCCCCTGACAGACCTGCAGAGCAGACCTCTGCGGGTCTGAGAGAAAATATTTTACATAATAGATAACAAACAACCTTGTGAACCAGAGCTGAAGAATCCTGACTCTTTCTTCGGCCATTGGGCTGGGAAAAGGGGACTCTTGGGGTCATCCCAACAGTAGGGAACCCGAGATGGGACAATGTCTGTGGAAAGTGGCCTTTTCCAGGCTGGTGACTGCCAGCAGTGCTGGGTGCACTGAGCAGTGGTGGGTGTGAAACCTGGAGCACAGGAAGAGTGATCAGTCTGGAAATGCTTATTGTGCAGCAGGGAAACACTGATCCAGAACATTAAAATGTCATAGTCATATGACAGTCAAAACAGTCATAGTCTGAGCCCCTTCCCTTCCAGCACCACACATGTAATAAAAAAGGAGCTTGGTGAGTGTGTCATTTCTCAGTTCTGTATGGCCTGCACACAGCAGGCCTGACTTCAGCACCACACCCATACTTCAGAAGGGAAGGATTTCCTTGGATGTGCTCGTATTGATTCAAAGAATGATATTAATATCTTAGACTTTAATGAGCTGAAGGTTTCACTGCAGCTTTCAGTCATTCTGCAATATCCATTTTATCCTCAATTAGCAACTCTCAGTCTCTCAAAATTAAGTCAATCTACCCAGATTTAGGTCTCTTGCATTTCCCTCAAAATCCAAGCATGGTGTGCATGCTCTCTGCCCTGAAACTGTTAGTGGCCTTAAGAGCAACTGATATTCACTACCCTGGTCTTTTTCACGTATGTCTTCCCAACATCTTTCTTTGCCCAGCCAAACACTATAATTTTTTATCCACGGTGTCACAATTTCCAGCAGCAAGATCCCACCATTCGCCCTTTGCCTCAGTCCCATCACCTTCTCTGTGTAGGCTCCAGCATTCCCACAGCTGGGAGGTGAGCTCAAGCCAATTAAACACCAAATATCTCAACTGATTTTTCAAATTTTTCTTTAATCTGCACAGTACATATAGCACATAAGCTGAGGCCAGCACAAAGAAAGCAAAAGAAATGAAGCTGACAAGGCTAAATACTTTCAGTCCAGAGAAATTACGACAAAGAGGTGGGCCTAAATATTTAATGAGAGCAAATAATATATAAATGGAGGTCTTGTCATTGGACAGTGTTAAGGTCTCACCTGTGGAAATGGTATATCCAGTAATGCTAAGAAAGTAAAAGATTTTGTTTTCATAGTAGAATAGGTGGCAAAAGATGCAGCTCTTCACACACCATGGTCTTCTGACAGTTTCACTGGTGATGTGGTTGCAAAGGCACATGAGACCCTGGCAGATTTTTAAAATATACTAGAATAGGGCTTCTTATGTTTGATGTATAGTGAAAAAGGAACAACTATATAATTCACTTCACAGTGTACAGAGAGTCAGCTTAGGACCGAGAGCAACCGAGTGGAGAGGCAGAACAGAAGAGGGTTTAAAAACAACTCTCTATAAAGATGCATTTTGATGTGGTGAAATGAGACACATTCAGAATTCATAACCATTGAAACACAGAATACTTTGTGTTAGAAGGGACCTTTAAAGGGGACCTTCATCTAGTCTACACCCCTGCAGTGAGCAGGGGCATCTTCAATTAGGTCAGGTTGTTCAGATTCCCTTCCAACCTGGCCTTGAGTGTTTCTAGGGATGGGGCAAGCCCCACCTCTCTGTGCCACCCGTGTCTCACTACCCTCCTTGTACAAAATTTCCCATGTCCTGTCAGTAGAGACCCTAATTAAAAGTCTGTCCCCATTGTCCTGATAGGCCCTCTGTAAGTACTGAAAGGTGCAATGAGGTCTCCCAAGAGCCTTCTCTTCTCCAGGCTGAACAACCCCAGCCTCTCAGCCTTTCCTCACAGAAGAAGTGCTCCAGCCTCTGATCATTTTTGTGGCCCTGTTTGGAACCACTCCAGCAGGTCCACGTCTTTCCTGTGATGAGGAACTTGTCCAGTGTCAGAATCCAGGACATTCCTCTGGCTGCCCTGGGTGATTCGAGTCCCTGGCAAGGGGCTCAGAGACCTTGGCACAGAGTCAAAAACACCTGTGCCTTCGATTTTAGTCCACGAAAAAAGAAATCCCTACTTTGTTTTAAGATTTACAAGCCACAAGAGTTTGAGTAGAATGATAGGTAAATTGTCACAGGGTGAAAAAGTAGAATTTTGGAGTTTTAGAATGGGGGTTCAGGAGGCAAGATGGAGGAATCTGGGCATGTCATGTCCTTCTTCTCCTTCTTCTTGTCCCCTGTATTCTGCTGGGATGGTGGCACTTCTTGATTGGTTTAGAGTAGAGACAGACTGTCTAACATAGGTGATAGGTATTGGAAAGTTGTTGTAAATAAAGTACACGTAGTTCTTAGTATAAAATGTTAACACCACCCCAAGGGCAGTGGCTGTGCCACAATCCGACCTGCAGGACAGATCTCAGCAGGTCAGAGAAAGAATGTAATAGATAAGAAAAAATAAACAACCTTGAAAAGCAGAATCGACGAATCTCGATGTCTTCTGTCGCGGGGCTGGGAAAAAAGAGACTTTCTAACACCTCGGGGTTATCTCAGCCACAGAAACCTGAGAGTCCAGGTGCCTGTGGAGGGCATCCTGTCCCTCAGGCATTCCAACTGCCCCACTCAGCTTGGTGCTGAGGTCTCCCAGGCCTCCAGACATGCCCTGGATCCCACTGGCTGAGTCCTTGATGAAGATGTCAAACACACTGGTGCCAGTACAGACCCCTGATGGACACTTTTTGTCATCCATCTCCCTCTGGATGCATTCATCCAACCAATTCCTCATCCCCACAACAGTCCATCCATCAAATCCATATCTCTTCAAGAGAGAGAGAAGTTCAGAGAACAAATACTTCAGAATACTGTGGCAGTACAGATTGTTTTATTGTTCAGAATTGGCTACTCTAAGTTAGACAAAATTTTATTTATGTTCCTGCTTTTCAAAAGTGCTGGGAATTTTACTGCTATCCCCAAAAGAGTTTCTCTAAATAGGGACATGATTGAGCTGGATCTGAAAGCCAAGCAAGTCTTGTTAACAGGTATAGCAGTACAAAACACCATGTTATTCCACCCAGACTTAACTTTTTCTCCTCGAGCTGTTTTTCTTCTCTTCCATCTTTCTCAATCATCAGTGTGCACATACAGAATGCATCTGGAAACACCTAAATTTTTATCAGAATCTGCTTTCATCATACAAAGATCAAACAGGCACCATACCAGTGTCTTGAACGGCTGCCTAGAGAAGGAAACTGCAGTCAACACAGCCCAACGTGCCTGGACACCAGGAGATGCTCCTGCTTGCCCTCTGCAACATCCCAGCTGCACTGCTGGAAACAGCACTCACCTGAAGATGCAGATTTGTCTAAGAATGAACACCAGGAGAATGACACAAGAAAATATTAGGGAAGAGAATTATGTGGCAAATGTAAATGAAAGACCAACAACTAAGGCTCTCACTGCAAAACCAGGAAAATAGTTATGCACGTTGTGTTGACTTGATCCCTTCAGTGCTACTGCAAAAGTTAAACAAAAGTTCTTACAAATTTTTTTTAAATCCTATATAGGCATGAAAGGATTCATCCTGGCATTGTGATAAATGATGAAACATAAAATTAGCATAAACTTATTTATATGAGGAACACTGCTGACAGAGTACATGCTTCTTCATTTTATTTTTTCACGTTCCCTCTTTCCAAGACACTCAGCCAGTTCTCCCATCAATTACACCCATACAAAAGAAGAATAACTTCAATAAAGCTTGTATAAATTCATCATCTTAACAAAGAGGCAATATGTATTAATAAGCTGTTTTTGACAAAACCACTAGCTCAGAATAATAAAATTTAACCCCAAATGTATTTCTGTTGCCTAAGGAGAAGACTGCTAGTCTGAAAACAGCACAGTGTATATGATTCTTTCTACCTGACTGTGCAAAATCACTTGTGTTAACAGGAGGAATCTGGCTGCGTTTGTTCAGTTGAAGACAACAAAAAGGGGTCCTGCTGTATCTGTGCTGTCCTGCTGTATCTGTACTGTCCCCTGTTTGAAACCAAGCTCCAACAAGAACTTTGCTTTCCCATCCCCTTTCTCAGACCCTGGCACTGTTCTGCAGCTCATAACTAAAGGCTGGAACTCTGTTGCATGGTGCAGTGAATTCCACCTGCAGCTTTCAGGTAACCTCACTACTGTCTCGTTTAGTAAAAAAAAAGGTCTATCACTGCTTAAACCAATGGCCACATAACAGAGCAACTTATGCACCATACACAGAAGGCTCAAGACAATTCTGAACAGAATTGCCTTGACACTTTTGCTCCAGAGGTAGGTGTGCACTCAAGGAAAGACAAAAAAATCCCAGAGTATGGCTGTCAGACAATTTAAACATTGGTAAAAAATATTCCGTGTAGCTCCACAAAATATTTGTTTTCCATTTTCTTTCCTTTTGGTAATTAAAATTTTAAAAGCCTAAGACTGTCATTTTTTAAAAAAAAGATGGCTTTTACATCTTGAACAATACTGCAGTTATTTTGTTATACAACAATGTAAAAAACCCCAAACAAACAAGTTAAATATTGGATTAGCAAGTGACAGCTCTTCAAAAATATTCTCATTGAAGTTGCTCAGAGCACCAGAATCAGGTTTCATGTTTTGAAAATTAAGTTACAGGGAAAGCTTCCTCCCTCTTACCGTATCCTTGAGGACCTGCGAATGCTGTTGTGGGTGGCAGTGTGTTGGCAAAGCAAATGTCAGCAAACTGCCTCCCCTCGCACAAGTGATTGATTTATCAGTTTAATAGAGCTGTAAATCGAGAAAAATGTTCCTCAAGCCTGAACAGTGAACCACAAGGAAATAACAGGCAACAAGCTGTGATGCAGAATTGAAAATGTAAGTACTTTTGATATACAGCATATGTTACATTTTCCTGTCAGGAGCCCATGGAAAATCTGACCACTCTGATTTCCAGCTACAGTGACTCTGCCCTTGAATTCTGGTGGCAGAGCCTCACAGCATTAATGTTGGATGCCCTTGCTTTCTTCTGCAGGGAGCACCCACGTGGGTTTTATTACATTTTGTTCAATTTAAAAGAGAAAGAAGCCAGTACAAAGGAGCTAAAAACAGCACTACAATACACTGAACCTAGCGAGGAATCTCCACCCATAAAGCAAAACCAATATTCTTTGCAATCACTTAGTGCTTTTATATTTATAGAATCAAGCAAATTTCTAATGTCTGCAATTGTTTGTACAAGACATAAAATGCTGGCAATGTGTATAATTCCCGAAAGATTCCTTAAGTACTGTTCCCACTCCATCTAAATACATCAATGTCATACCACCTGCCTTTTTTTCCCCCTTTGCAAAATACTGTTTCTGGCATATCCTGCCATTTCTGTCTAGAATTTCTTCTTCCTTCCCATTTTTGCAAGTTTCACAGGACGTTTGCTGCTTAACTCGGCTGTGCTGTGAGATGGAGCGAGCAGGCTGTGCTGGGAAAGGAGAGATGTTATCCTGTGAAAGGAGAGATGTTATCCTGGGAAAGGAGAGCTGCCAGCTGCACTCAGCCCTGAGCCTGGAAACATCTGCAGGGGAGGAAAGGTCTCCCTGTCAGAAATTCAGTTCTCCCTCATGGTCAGTCATTTGTTTGTAATGCAAAATACAGTTTATAAGAAAAACCTCAAAACCTCAGTCATGGCCTAAGTAGCTGAGATTCTGGCTTTAAAAGGTCTTAAAATTGGATAATTCAAGCATTTTGAAGATAGATGCTGAGGTGGGAAGAGTTCAGTTTTAGACAAGTATTCTGTTTCAATTACCTGAAAACATGGTTTTGATGCATTTTTTTTCCTCCAGGTTTGCTTCAATACTGAGACAAATATGGGTTTTTTATTGGAAGTAACAGTAGGTTTTCATTCAAGAAAGTAGAGGGTGGATTTCAACACAAAGACAGTTAAAATAATTTTTTTTTTGATGGTTGTAACTAATTCTGTTGTGTAAAAAGCTAATTGTTCTAAGTTTATACAACTGGAACAGCAGACCTGTATTCCATCTTTCACTAAATACTGGCAAATGCAGCCAGCAAAAGACCAAATACTCTCAGAGGTTCAGCAATCTCTGGAGAGCCTCAAATCCTTCCCAGGGAGCTGTGCCTTTGCAAACAAGTCAGGCACATCTTCTGCAACCTTGTCTGCAGCCCAGGGGAAATAAAAAGACACCAATCACACGGGACTGGCCTCATAACACAGGTCTTTTGTTCTCCTGGCTGCTTTTGTTTTAAAAGCAGTGCTTGTCTTCCCTGTCCCTGTTGGAAGCGCCAGGAGCTCGCTGCAGTGAGGTCTGTGCCCCAGCCCTGCTGCAAGGCAGGAGCAAGGAGACAAAAAACCCCAGGAAAACGTGAAGGGAAGGGAAAGTGGCTTCCCCCTGCCAGCACATCCACCCAACAGCCTGTTTGAGTCCCGCAGAGCCTTTTCCATGCTGGCCTTCATTAGCTTTGGCATCTCCCCTGAACATCTTGTAGGGCTTTAATATGCTCAGCTGTGGCCACTGCCACCTTTTCACTGTGGCTCCAGCCCCCCTCTCCCTCCTACCAAAATCTGGAGATATTTTTAGGCAGTATTTAATTAGAAGTCTGAGCTCTGTACTCACCAGAAATACTGATCAAATAATACTGATCAAATAATACTGATCTGCTTCACAGGAATTTCTTTTCACTACTGAGCAAACAAATGCAAGAGCTTCCCAAGTGCCTGTTACAGCCATGGAAGTCAGCAGCCTCCTGTATTTAAAAGCAATCCAATGTATTTCAGAAGTGTTAAAGTGCTTCTTTCTTTATTCTTCTGATGGCCTAGGAACTTACCTGTGTGCAATGTCTGCTTATGGGATGAAGTCTTTAACATGCATTAAATATTACTGGAGGAGCAAATACTGCACCCTGGCACTTGCTGACTTTGCCTCAGTGTTTTTCTTGCCTTGCCTTGCTTTGTTAGAACTCAGTCAGAAGGTTACGCCTCCAGCCTTTCTTTGTTAGAAAAAAAAAACCAGCTAAAAATTAGTTTTTACACAGGGGAGATAAATAGGATCAACTTCAGTGAGAAGACTACATCCCATGAAATTAAACTTATTTACTTGCTTCAGTCTTTCAAATATTGTAGCAGCAGATTTTGAAGCATTGTTACAGCAAATGATCTGCCAAGCAGGGAGCTGCTGACTCACAGGGCCTCTTGGAATCAGAATCTCAATGTAACTTGTATTAAATCCCCTAGTTTCTCAGACTTTCGTCTCAGGAGCACATTTGAAAGTAATTAGTTAATGAACTTGAAAGGAAAGAGAAACCCAGGTAATTTTTTGAATCATATTTATCATTAAATTCAACACTTGTTCAGAAAAATACAGTTTTCCTGAATTGACTTACACCCTGGTTAGGTCATCACAAACTTAAAATCTCATTTTAGCTTGAAAATCAAACTTGCTGAGCCAAGCCAATAAATAATGCTGTTCAGTATGGGAAATAAATAACCAATTTAGCTGCTTTCCAAATCCATTTACAAGTGATCATGCAGACATTAAGCAGTTTTATAACCGATAGCTAATGGCCACATAATAATATATTTATTAGAGGCAGTAATTCCTGTTATGCTGGTAAATGGACGAGCAGGCTCACCACCATCCCTGATGGTGTCTTTGTAAGTAAGAGGGAGGCTGGCAGGGAGTGACTGCTACCCCCCACGAACAAGGCTTCTTTAAAGCACTCTCTTTTTCTTGGAGAATAATGCTCAGACACAGATGCCAGGGGCCTGTCATGTCACCTTATGACAGATTCATTCTCCCAAGTTTTTTTGGTGACTGCAGCAGGCTGGAACACAGGGGAAGCTGGAAACCTTTAAAGCAGAGCACAAAAATAACACATTTATCCATCCGTGTTACCCGTCTTGAAAACTCTTTGTGCCACTAGAAATGAGCAAAATTAGCTTTCAGCTGTCACTTGAAGCAGCTCAGTTTGCAGTTACAGTTGGGTAAGAAATTGTTTGTATCCCAGCACCCACACCAAGCAGGAGAAAAGAGATTCTGAAACTCCCTTTGAGCTCCTCAGGCTGCGTTTCCCCCAAGACTCTGGCACAGGCTCACACTTTTCTTCCCAGCACCCCTTTCCTGGCCCTGGGAAGCAGCTGTGGAACAGAGCATTCCAGCAACAGCCCCATCTCACACCTAAACTTCCATTTTTCCTACACTGCCATATGTTCCTCATGTCAGGGCTAGAATTAGGGCAGGTGTGAGCCAGCATGAGTTATCCTCTTCAGTCTTTGAGAAACAGCCATGGGCAAGGATATATCTTGGGCTGTTTCCTCTTCCTAAGGTCCCTTTCGTACTGCTTGAGCTGGGCATTTCACACACAAGTCCTTTCTGTTTAATTTCTAGAGAATGTTCCTTGGTATTGATTGTGTCAAGATCTCATTTTCCCCCACTGCTCACTGAAACTTCTTTAAAAATGCTCAAAAATCCTCCCCACTTAAGCTTCTCTTCATTTATCACAAAGTGGAATGAAGGGCACTTTAAAAACAAAATTCACAGGCTTGTGGGCATTTGGCTAATACATTGTGTAAAGAGTACAGATGGAAAGATGGATTTTTGCCCACTATCCTCTGCTGTTTCAGCTGTGTGCACCCAGGCACAGCCTGTGACAGCCCTCCATGGCACCAGAGCAGTACATGAGTGACACCCTGGTCCCTGAGAGCAGGAAAAGTGACTCAGCAGCCTCTGATGCCTTCTCTGGTGACTGGGAAGGGAATTATCACAGCTTTTACTGACAAGGCACAGAGATGTGAGGAAGAAGCAATACTGCATCAGTGCCAACAGCAATAGAGATGGCTTGCTTAATCTGCCAGTAGCCTGAGGTAGGGAATGCCACTGAAAACTCACCTTAAGAATATTGCATTTGGAGGCAAAGCCCTGTCAGTCAGCAGTCTCATTTGTGGCTTCATAGCTCTAATCTAACACTGAAGAAAAGCTTTATTAAAAGTAGCTGACAGCATCATTCCCTTCTTTGTCACCACCTCAGCCTGAATCCGTGTCTGTTACTGACACCATCTCTTGGGACAGCATTTTCCAAGGAAGAGAGCTGACCAGTGCTGCCCACACCTCTCCTCCTCCTGCTTCCCCTCACTGCCTCTGAGCAACCCCTTACAGGAACAGCAGCATCAAGCCAAAATGTACAATTTCAGGCCTGTTCACCCCATGCTGAAATAACCCCGGTGAGGGGTCATAGCCCAAGGGTTGGCTCAGGCTTGCACCCTCCCTGCTCCCAGCCACGCTCCAACAGGGAATGCTCCTCTCCTTCAGCAGGACCACGGTGGCACTGGCTGGCAGCACCCAGATGGATTTTGGTATGGAGCTGTCCTATCCCCTCCTGTCCTCATGTCACAAATCTAACAAATTCAGTGGAGAATCGTGTCCTCGATGTTCCTTGCTGTCTTGGGTAGGCAAGTGGCAGGAAAGGTTCCCTGCCCTTTCTTTTTTCCCAGCTAAAAGACAAATGAGATTTTGGCTTCCCAGTCTTTGCCAGTCAAGGTCATTATGGAGCAGGAAAGCAGCTTTCCTAGGGCAGAATATGGGTTTGTGTTGTATTTGCCGGGCTCCCAGATGAAGGAAGGAATGATGAATCTGACTTCATGTTCTCAGAAGGCTAATTTGTTATTTTATGATACTATATTATATTAAAGAATACTAAACTATACTATACTAAAGAATGCAGAAAGGATACTTACAGAAGGCTAAGAAGATAATAATGAAACTCATGACTCTCTCCAGAGTCTGACACAGCTCGGCCCCAATTGGCCATTGAGTCAAAACAGCTCACAGCAGAATCCAATGAAACAATCACCTGTGGGTAAACAATCTCCAAACACATTCCACATGAGCAAAACACAGGAGAAGCAAATGAGATAATTATTGTTTTCCTTTTCTCTGAGGCTTCTCAGCTTCCCAGGAGAAAAATCCTGGGTGAAGGGATTTTTCAGAAAATGTGAATGTGACAGGTTTGCCCTCACTGCTCAAGCTGACCTGCTTTTGAGCTGAGCACAGCACATCTGAGCTGATTTTTGGTGGGATATCTGCCCAAGGGAAGAAGCTGTCTAAGCTAAAGTAGAATGAGGCCTTGGTTTGCACATTCAATTTAGTTCAAGCTACTTTTTAATTAACGGTGATTAAAAATTAACAGTGATTGAAATATCAGAAGCTTTTAAATAAAAAACACAATTATATTAACACTAATAAATATAACTGACAGATGAACAAGGAAGAATATGAGCTGCATGGCAGACAAGGACCTCTCCAAGTCCAAAATTTCTGTGATGTGATAGTAAGATGGTTTGTGACTAGCGTGTATTTTCAATAAAAGATTCCTCTTTTGTTTTAAAGAGCAATGCTTCTTTAAAGGTGATTCCAGAGTCTGTCACCAGAAATGTGTTTCTTATGAGCTGAATTAATTTTTGCTGACCTTAACAAATAGTCATCAGTCACCCAAAACACATCCCCCAGGGAATCAAACAGCCAGCAAAACTTCACACAGCTGTAGAATTTTTGTGTTTGAAGGATGCATTAAGTATTTCAAACAATTTCTGGGATGTTTTAGACCATAAAGTCTGCTTTCAACTGTCATAGATCATTGGCTCTGCTTTACAAGAGACATTGTTTAACAGGTTTATAACTTGCCTATAAAAATGTGCTCCAGGCTGAAGCCCAGTATAAAAAGGTCTCAGCTAAAGGGTAATTTTTTTCATTACAACTCTTTCCTACTTTGTTTAGCTTTTAAGATTAGAGCTGCCTCCAAAAACTCCCCTCTCACTGTAGGATTATCACCAATACTGAGGATTGATTTATGCTCTAAACTGCAGGGAAGGGAAAGGTGATCCAGATTTAGAAAAAAACACCACAAAACCATCAGCAAACGAACACCACAAAAATGCTGGAACTCTGAGGTTTTGCATGGTCAAGGTTTTACATTTTCAAGGTAATTTGCTGGAACACATTCTTAAAAGAAATGTGACTTAGCGTGCACTTCAGACCATACAAAAGGATGTAAGGTAATTGATGTGTTACCATTTCAGACTGGGGCATCTGTAACAGGGTACTCCATCAATGCACCTCTGCACTATTGAAAGTTTGGGGTTCCTCAAGACCTGGAAAAGAACCAGCTAAAGCTGTTTGTTCTGTTCATTTCATACAATGCAGTCTCAGGGTCATCCCAGTGAGCGTCGCTTGGGCAAGCTCAGAAGTAATTTAACATTCTCAGAAGCAGAAAACATTCAGCCTAATGATAATCAGTGAAGTCAGGCCCAGGGCAAGCAAAGTTCAGCAACTTGAGCTCATTTTTATGTTCAATTATTTGGCTCATAAAAGCCAAATAGGTGTTAATGCCTAGGGAAGAATAGGAATTATTAATATAAAGTTATATGAAACTACCATAAAGAGACAGCATTGGGATTTGTTGGGTTTTCCCCCTAACAATTGCAGAAGGGATATTGTTGGGAAAGCAGCCATATGCTTCTCAGTCTTCACCAGAGTGAAATTGCTGTATTTTTGCTAAGTTTCTGGACAAGTGGGTACAGCAGGGTAAGAACACTCAGTGGAGAACTTTTGCATCAGAGATCCTGGGCAGCCCCAGCTATGCTCTGGTTGTAACACTCATATCCACATCCATTTATAGGAGAGCCTTTGGTGCCCTCTGTTCTTTCACTGCCTCCTTGTTCTGGGCATAGAGGGTAGAGTTGCACTTCCTAGAACATCAGAGATACTGCTTCAGCTTTTAAGACACCCAGAGAAAACTGTCCTATTTCCAATGGTTACGTAAATACTTCAAATCCTGATCAGCCTCCTGCCCTAAAAACCTCAGAAGGGTGTTTTATGCTTCCTTCAGGACCGTGTGGTCACAGGTGCTACCTGTACAAGCCACTTTTTATATCCCCAGAGTAGTATTTCCCTGATGTTCACTGCTGGCCCTGAGAGACTTGGCAGCCCATCCACACCATCACCAGGAGCTGGGGGTGTTCAGCCTGGTCAAGAAAATGCTCCAGGGAAACCTTGTAATGCCTTCTGGTACTTCAAGGGGCTACAGGGAACTGGAGAGGGACTTCTGAAAAGGGCAGGTGGTGGTAGAACTAGGAGGGATGGCTTCAAACTGAAAGAGGGCAGGGGTGGATTGGATACTAGGAAGAAATTCTTCCCTGTGTGGGTGGTGAGACACTGGCACAGGTTGTCCAGAGAGGTCGTGGATGCCCCATCTCTGGAAGTATTCATGGCCAGTTTGGATGGGGCTACTGAAAGGGGGCAGTGTGTTAGATGACCTTTAAAGTCCCTTCCAACCCAAATCATTCCAGGAAACAGCTCTGTGATCCTTTAAGTATCAACTACAAGTGCAGAACAGGAATGTGTTTCCATGCATCAGTGACAGTGCTTTTGCCTTGCCCGATCAGCAACATTATAGAGACCATTGTGTACATCTTATTTTGCCCAGTATGCTCCAAAAATCCCACAATCAAATCAGAATAATACCACAAAATCCTGTGGGTGGTGGGCAAAGGAGGAAACTTCTTAAAAACTTTCTGTAGAATCAAACTATATTAACCTGGAAAGCAGCACTGGTGATGCTCCTTTTACTTTTTATATAATCACCAAGCTTTAAGCTGATAATCATTCAAATGAACATATCAACTGAAACAATGCATTTGTTATCCATGAGTTGCTAGCCACACACGAATGACAACAGTGGTGCTTTCACAAGTGCCACACCAGGCAGTACCTCAGGATTTACATGAGGAGGCCAACTTTGTCTTTAGGTTTTGAAGAATAACAGAAACAATATTAAAAGTTGAAGGCTACTGAA